ATTAGTCCAGGGAAGTCCGTGTCCCAGCTCGTCCCCTCCCCCAGAGGCCACTAACTGATCAGAAACTAAACAAATCCAGATGAAACAATGTGTCCATATATTGTTGATAGTTATTTGCCGCCACAAATATAAGCTCCTCACAAGTGCAGATTTCCTCCTCTCTAAAAATCCAATCTCATATGGTGGCAGCTTCTCTCTGCTTCCAGTAGGTGGGTATAAGCATTCCGGCAGCATTGATCAAGTGGGAAAGAACATCTCTTTGATACGATCGTATGGGAAGTGGATTACGATGGTGTAGTAAGTTTCTTCATCAAATGGAAGTAGGGTGTCCACCAGTTGGAAAACAATTCTGTGGATAATGTTCGAGAATGATCTGATCTCTGGACAATTCCACCAAATATGGATGAGCGTGCCCAGCTCTCTCCCACGATGCTAGAACTCTGCGTCTGCAGTTGAGTAGGTGTGCTAGCTTCTCGCGGAGGATATCAGGAGGAAGCTATAGAACTGTGACACACCATATTCTAAGGGTTGAGAGGGTAAACCTAATTCTTCAATCTCTAGAGACTTTTTCTATGCAAAATAAAGAAGATACAAAGTGTGATGGTTGCTGGTATCGGAAACGCACAAAATGTGATTGAGGGTGCGACTCCATCAAGGTCTCCAGGGAGGCAAATAGCCTGGTGTTATAGGGTGTTATCGACCAAAAGATGTCAGAAAGAGGAGGCGCAGCGCTGGAGAAGACAGAGGATTGTCCAAAATTGGGGTCAGAGAAGAGGGTTATGTGGTGAGAGTGAAGCCGTACACCCATACTGTAACGAGAATAGTCAGGTTTGTCCTAGGAAGATCTGCCATGTCAGAGGGTGAATCCAGTTGTAACAGAGTGGAGCTTGTTGAATGAAATGCCAGCAGAGTAAATATTTTCTGTAGTTCCTTTATTTCCACATGGTATGTGGTTGCAGGACAGCCCTTTTTATACAAACCAAATTCATTAACTCTGTCATGTACACAGTTCCTTTAATTATAATATCATTGCTATCCACTTATTAATAAACACAAAGAGAAAATAAGAGTTTAAACATAAACCCCAGCTCCTGAGAACTGCCACTGTCCTCCATGAGGTTCACTAAATGAACCTACTGTGTAGATGTGCCTCTTTTAACCTCAAGCTGCTACAGCAGGTACTGATTTGCTACATTGCAGCACTGGGTTGACCGACTATTGCAAATGAACACTTTACTTAGGAAACCGCTTGTACACACCATTACAACAGGGTAGAGAGTAAAGCGGTAACTGTGATATTGCATTCTGAACGGAGAGACAGAATTTAGAGTGTCCCAGTGTGGACCACCATGTGGAAAAGGGACAAATCTAGGAGTCCAAGACCCCCTTAGCGTTTATATCTGGTAAGTGGAGAGTATTGAAGTCAGGCTCTTTTTCCCTGCTATAGATACTACAAGGATAGAGTTAGAAATTGAATTATTGTGTAGAATAAGACTTTAACACTGATGTTACATATGGTTTTATCTTTGAAAAGTTGCCCTCCCAAATTCCCAACACAAGCAGAGAAACAGTTACGAGAGGACATCAGTATTATGATCAAGTTCTGGACTGCCATGTTCTCTGACAAAAAGTATTTAACAGCTAATCAACTAGTGCCACCAGGTGAGATACTCAATTACTGTATTCACAATGTATTTTATTTTAATGGAAAATAACATTCTGAGCCTGATTAGAAAAATCACATCATCAATCTCTTTAGATAATCTAGACCCATCAGTGAACAGCCTGTCTGTAATGTCAGATGTCAACCGCAGTAATTTAGATGTAACAGTTGGGTCTCGTCAACAAACTGCCCAGGGTTGGATTAACACATATCCCTTGTCCAGTGGCATGTCCACCATCTCCAAAAAATCAGGTTTGTGTGGTTTGAGTTTTAGATGTGTGACTTGGTTATGTACATTCTCTGAGTTAAAAACATTCTTAATATTTACTATGGTGTCTATGAAATACAATTACTGAAACATATTTTTCTTATTCCTATGTGTCTTTACAGGATTGGCAAAAAAAACAAACCGAGGAACGCAGTTGCATAAATACTATATGAAGAGGAGAACTCTACTGCTTTCTCTACTAGTAATGCTCCACTAATTACTCTACTGTATTTGTATAACAGAAATGTCTGAAATAACCCCTTAATTTGTCTATATGCTCTCACAGTTTGACATCGTATAGTTCTTGGAGCTAGCCTAAAATAATTTAGGAGTTGGACATAAAGAACTCTACAGCACTCAGTCTGTATTTTATGTCCACTAACACTACAAGTAAATGGCAAAAGGCATCCATACAGGTCTCCCATCTCTCAAGTCACACTCATTTGTAATGCATTCAAGCCCAGTATGCCAACATAACACATCCAACACATGCATATATTGCACACATAGCTCTTCTAGTACTTTCACCTATAATCTAGCACTTGGTGCGGTGGCTGGCTAGTGGGAAGGAAAAGTATGGGGGTTATTGTTACCATTACCCCACAATGTACCTACCGTCAGCTAGCTAGATCTATACCTCTGTATGTAATGTAGATCTTTCTGCACATATTTTATTTTTTTATTTTAATGTGTGGCTATTTCTGTTCTTTTTAGACTTTATTCAGCCAGGGGATCGGCAAACATTGGTTAGAGGAAGTAATTGCTTAAAAAGACACTTGGTCATAACATCCAGAAATAGGATTTCCATTTTAACAAACTTGTAACCATGTATTTCTACTTTCTCTGGGAGTTTATTCAGCCTCCCTCTAAAACCACATGTATTCCATTATCCAGGCCACTGAGATTGAGCGGTTGACCACTTGGTACAATCCTTTGTCCTCCCCTGAGTTAGAGCTAGATCCGACAGGAGAAAACAGTGTGGCTAACTGGAGATCCAAATACATGAGCCTGAGTGAGAAGCAGTGGAAGGACAATGTGAATCTTGCATGGAGCATCTCTCCTCACCTGGCTGTGCAGTTGCCTACAAGGTGAGTTTGATACCCGACACAGACCAGCCCTGCAGTAACTTAAATCAACAGGTGTGTGCCACATTTTCTGTATAACACACGCTTACTGGATTTCTCTTCTTTTATATTGTTTAGATTTAAAAACAATGAAGCCATTGGAGGGGAAGTGACCAGGCTTGTAAGACTAGACCCAGGAGCAGTAAGTGATATGCCAGAGGCTATCAAGGTAAGTCTGTCTTCAAATAGGTAAAATAGCTGATGGTGCTAGTAACAAAATTTGCATTTCTTAGACTGAAGGGAGCTAAGTAAGCAGGGGTGCGAGATTGGCTCACTGGTGGGAATGGCTAGTACAGCACTAGAGTTGTTCTCTCGGAGTCCATGTCATACTATTCTGCCTCTGTACCATTAATTCCAGAAAGCAGCATACAGCGCTGCACACTGATATTAGTGTAACAGACGTGTCATGAAGGGTGAAAGATTGGGGAGGTGTGGACAGAATGACGCTTTAGTATCAAGTCTGAAAAACAAAGAAGCTAGAGAGCAAGTGTAACAAAATGTAATGGGAGTTATAAAATGTGCAATGAGACGAGCAGAAATCTTAACGTTGAAAAGAAGAGCTCTAAAATCCAAAATGTAGACATATGGAGGGAGGGCAGACAAACACAAATGTTGGAAAAAGTTAAAAGGAAGTAATAGAACAAAAAAAGTTCCAAATGGCAGTGGGGAACAATTTAAAAAAAAAAAAAAACATGCAAGGCCTTAGTAAGACAATTTGTGTTCAATATTATTGTATGCTTTGTGTACTATTTATCTTGATCTGATATTTTCTCCTACAGTATCTTGTTACTTGGCACACAATAGATGCAGATGCTCCAGAACTCAGCCACATCTTGTGCTGGGCGTCAACTGACCCACCGACTGGACTCTCCTACTTTTCCAGCATGTATCCTCCACATCCTCTCACTGCTCAGTATGGAGTTAAAGTACTGCGATCATTCCCACCGGTAAATTCTATTGCTTCAGCTAATGCATAATTACATGTACACCAGGTCTATCTAACAATAGTTGGTTAGACTTTCATAATCATTGGCTGAAGTGGGTTTAGACTAGTTGTGAATCAACTGTCTGTTAGCCATCCTCTGGTTTTCACTGTGTGACTATTGGTGCTCGCCTTCATGTTTTTGTTCCGTTGCCCACTCTTTTCGCTTGCTCTTTCAGTTTATATGTTTCTCTTCTCATTTTGTTTTGCATTTAATTTTTTTTTAGGATGCCATCCTTTTCTACATTCCTCAAATTGTTCAAGCCCTGAGATATGACAAGGTGAGTTGCACAAGTTTCTTATTGTTGACCTACACATCTCAAAACCTGTAAAAGAAAAAATTCTAATAAAAAAAATAGAAAAAATAGACAACGTCCTTAAAGAGTGGCTATACTGGTACTGCAAAAGCACAACACCTTGTACTACTGTTTAGAATGTCTCTTATAATTCCTGCAGGTTATTGCAATGTACTTAGTGCTGTGTCCTTAGAACATATATTCAATAACCATTATAGAGATTAGTGGTGCTGTGGACTCTGTATTCTTAATCAGGAAGAAGGCGTTAATCGATTATTCTTATGAATTACAACATTTGACATTACTAAAGTTGATATGTCCGTAAAGGTTTCAAAGTGACGCTGTCTATTGACACCCAGATCATCTGTTCATGTAGAAGGTAATGGATGCTTACAGATAAACATGCTGTATCAGTGGACTGATCAGGAGAAAACCACAGCTCTAACAAATAGTCATATATTTTTATTTCATAGTCATGAGTCTCTCTGATCACTTGTATTTATATATAATCACATTACTTTTAACTCTGTAAAACCTGTTTAAACTGATGGCTTGTAGTTAAGAACACTCTATTTTCCAAGTAACTGGATAGTACCTTTATGCAACACATGTATATTTCCTTTGCAAGCTGGTGTTCATTTAAGGCAGGCTTCCCCAAACTCCGGCCCTCCAGATGTTGCTGAACTACAACTCCCATGATTCTCAACCTATCTATTTCATTCATATTTCATTCATAGATTCATGGGAGTTGTAGTTCAGCAACATCTGGAGGGCCAGAGTTTGGGGAAGCCTGATTTAAGGCTTTATTAGTCAAAAAGGTGAGTAAGAGATTTGAAAGCATAGCTGACTTGAAGAATTTTTCCAGTTTGGCTATTTTGACCTTAAATTTGATATTCACTTTGAATTCTCGCTTTAGTAAATAACCGTGTGTGTTTTTTGCAGATGGGTTATGTTCGAGAATACATTTTATGGGCAGCTGCTAAGTCACAGCTTTTGGCACACCAATTTATCTGGAATATGAAGACCAACATTTTCCTGGATGAGGAGGCACATCAAAAGGACCGTGAGTACCCAGCTAACACGGATCTCTGTTTTTGTCTCCAGACTTCACTTACTAGAATTGCAGGTTTTAGGATCTCACAATAAACGGGTCGAATATCTTGTCAGTCACTCTGGTTAATATACTTGTGTTACCAACTCATTTCTACTTGTGAGTTTGTCCTAAAAACCTGCACTTTAGCTTTGTAACACTGAGATTATGCCTTGACTTTAAATATACCACATCTAATATAAAAAATAACACACAGATACAAATACACATAAACCCACACAGATACAGCCACAGAGATACACACACTGGCGCCCACACACAGATACCCACACACTGATATACAGATACATATACACAAGTTGTAATTTACATATTTTTAGCCATCCTCCCTGCTTCTATACCTTTTGGATGCAGGAGAGTGGCTTCCTGAGCTGACTCAGGTTGATGGGAGTCTGAGGTAGCCTGCAGTGTTCTCTCTGTGCCTCCTTCATCCTCCCAGCCTCCAATTAGTCTATTAGCTGGGAGAAGGAAACCGGAAATCATTTTCTCCCAGCACTCCCTACCAAGATTAAAGGGGTTTGGTTGTGTTGCTAAAGGGCAGCAGCACCCGACCAGGCTGTTGATCATACCAACTTGCCTTTCTGTACATTTTCCATGTGGTAAAATATTTTATGCTCTATAAGATAAGCTTAAATTTTGTGGTAATAAAATTGTCTCCTTAACACTTGCTTTAGGGACTTTAAATCTGCAGTTGTTAATTCAGTACTTATTCTTGGATTTGTGGAATGTCTGGATGTTTTGTAATCACAGAAGCTTCTTGTAAAATGTATTTACAATTTATATAGAAACAATTCAAAACTTGCCATAGTGTGCCTGTCCAATAATAATTAAATATCTTGCAAGCATCTGGTAACCCTAGAGATTATGGGTTTCATAGCAAAATATGTGTTAAGGGTTCAAAACTTTAACGGCTGGAAGGTAAACCATACATGGGTGAGTGGTGTTTTACAGTCTAGGTGATCTATGCATGGTCTGTAAATTCCTTTCTGAGATTTTCCTCTACCATCCAACTGGCTTTCAGGTGTTATTGTGCCATTTTTTTTTTTTTTGTGCATAGGAAGTCAGACATGTCTCTCATAGACATTTTAGCATAGGTATGTACAACCGGTATAGGTGTAGCATAAAATGTGTAGAATAAAATGTCAAAATACTGCACTTTTCATATTAGTAAACAAGATAGAACAATACTAGGAACAACAAAATGGTTTCCTTGGGAGGCATCCACATTAGCTAAATGATGTGAAAAGGGAAGAATCGACAAGACTGGGCTTTAAAGAACCACTATAGGCACCCAGACCACTTCAGCTTAATGAAGTGGTCTGGGTGCCTGGTCCATCTAGGGTTAACCATTTTTTCTATAAACATAGCAGTTTCAGAGAAACTTCTGTGTTTATAATAGGGTTAATCCAGGCTCTAGTGGCTGTCTCATTGACAGCCTCTAGAGGGCTTCCGTGCTTCTCACTGTGAAAATCGAAGTGAGAAGACGCCAGCGTCCATAGGAAAGCATTGAGAATGATTTCCTATGGACTGGCTGAATGCGCGCGCGGCTCCTGCCGCACATGCGCATTCAGCCGAAGGAGGAGAGGAGGAGGAGAGCTCCCCGCCCGGTGCTGGCGAAAGAGGTAAGTTTAACCCCTTCCTCCCCCACTGAGCCCAGCGGGAGGGGGACCCTGAGGGTGGGGGCACCCTCAGGGCACTATAGTGCCAGGAAAAAGAGTATGTTTTCCTGGCACTATAGTGGTCCTTTAAGATAAAAACATTTAAAAATTACATAGAACAAATAAAGATGCACTCATGTAGGCAGCTAGCAATAAAACTGATGGCTGTGCCACATCGGGTATGTAGGAAGTATAGAGTGAATTGCCACAGCATAGTCCCAGAGTCCTGTTCATCCTATGCCCTCAAAGGGCAGAGCACAGTCTTGCAATAAGGATATAGTATGCCCTGGAGACAATATTAAAGCCTGTGGATCCAATCTCTATCCAGTTTTAGGGTTTCCCATAGGACCTGTGACTTGCGATGCATTCCTGCTTTGGTCTGCTTAGGTGTATGCTTCTGTGCTACCTTGTGAGAAGCGCAATGCAGGTTTCGCCACCATAATGTGGCCTTTGTCACTGCTACAGCCAGACTATGGAGGAGAACTCAGAAGTGAGTAATTACCCTTTGGAAACAGGGCAGAATTGAGGCACCGAATTTCTAACTGCCGGCAAATATTGGAAAAGAACCTGTCCAGCTTGGAGCAAATGTCGTCACCATCGTCGCAGGGGTTAGGAAACCATGCGGTCTCCTCCCAAGTTAGCGAAGTCGTCGTGAGATTCTGTTGCACTCATGACTTTACCCCGCGTTTCTGCTCGAGCTTCCTATGAGTGGACCGGGATCATCCCCACAGCTTGGGAGGCTCCAGTGCAACAGATTGGCTGCCTTGCATGCACTAGGCCGCAACTGTCCAGTAGATCCGCTAAGGCAGGCATATAAGGTTGGGTAAAAAGTGTCCCAAAATGAGCTATAGTGAGCTCAGGATTTCTTGTATTGTAGTGGAGTAGCTTGTCCAGGACACGACTGTCCTCTATGGCAGTCAGGCCTGCCCCTATTTTTGTGCCATTTGGGTAGTTGTCTTTGCCTTACTTGTTTTTTTTGTTTTTGTTTTTTTCTCCTGTGCAGCTGATATTGGGGATCTGCTGGAACAGCTTGTAGAAGAAATCACAGGATCATTGTCAGGACCAGCCAAAGATTTCTATCAGCGGGAGTTTGACTTTTTCAATAAGATAACCAATGTCTCTGCCATCATAAAGTAAGTCCAAGCTGTATTTGAAGACATATTTTGAGAACAAATTAGAGTAATGGGAAAATAAATTGCAGATAATATCAAAGGGTGGTTGAGGTTCAAAATGAAGACTGACATCTACACTGTTTTCTTTTGTCTGTGGTTTTGATCTACCTCAGTCTTTCATTTTATCATTCTCATGGACACCCAACAAAGATTGGGTCTACTTTGTCTCGGTGTGGTCCTTTTGTTTATATCGCCCAAATCAGCTCCCCCACACATATTTTTCAGTTTTAAAAGTATATATTCAAAATGAGGTAAGCTCTGACCATAAGATAGCTAACATCTTGTTTGTGTTTTCTGATTTACATGAGTTACTTAAATGAACTCTCCCACCTCTATGACAACTTCATTTAATTTATGTATGTACCATTTCTTTCAATGGACACCTAGTGACAATAACTGATGGGCTCAGCCAGTCAGTGAGCCATACTGCAATGCAAAGAGTAAATAAGCTAGGAAGCAGTGCTTTGCAATGGAAGCTCAACTTTGGGAATAAACGGTTGCCAAACCATTTAACCCCTGAATGTATCAAGGTGACCAGACACTCCTGCTTCCATAACAATGTAAATGAGATTAGGTTGTTAAGGGGCTGAGAGAGTTACTTTAATTCCACAAACACATTCATACAACTATGTATATTCTAATGGAAATGTAATGTCCATATCTGTCATAGTTGGTCTTTGCATTGTACCACAAGTCTACTTGGCATTTTACTATTACCTCATTTATTTTATTTTATTTTTTATGTTGCTGAGGAATTTTCTACAAGCTTTCTTGTACTAAGGAAGTTACTTACAATTTAAGGCCGGCATTTTACTGCAGATGTTTCCACTAGCCTTCTCGATGCGATAGTAGTTTCTTCTCAATGTCTGTTAAATACCCACTTCCTAGCTTTTCATGGTGGATTTACATCTGGCTATTTGCTCCCTGAACAGCTGGCATGAGCTATTACAAAAATATTCTAAATAGCTTCCCATTTCCCTTCCACTATGTTCTTTTTGCTTGTGGCTAAAACACTGATGGTGCCTTTTTCCTTTTGGGATTTTTATTTTCTCTTATGTCTTTACAGATCTTATTTTGGTTCTTTTTGTTTCAGTAAAAGATTTCAAGTTTTCTTGTTTCTCTTCTTTAAAAAAATAACCTGTTGTAGATGTTTTGGGTCCCTTTTTTGTTTTTGGAAGCAATCTGCAGTCACCGTGCAGAATCCAAATACTTATTTGGGGTATGACTAATTCTCTGCAGTTCAGTACCTGCTCTCATGCATGCATTTTAGATTACCGCAACAACATGACTGTGCTTTCACAGCCTAGGAGATTTGCAAGCGACTGAGGATTCATTAGTTGCACTGTCCATTCTTCTCAGACGTGATATTTCATACTGTTATGTTTACTCAGAATTGTATCAATGAGAGAAAAGTGGTTAAAAATGATTTTCTTGTTAACGTAAGTACTTAAACACTGCAAGGACATGAAATGCAAACATTTTAGTTACTCAAGGATTGCTCTTGATTCTTGTCATACATACATACTCAAAATTGACTGATGTGCACTGCCCACATATCACAAGGCAAACCTTTGAACAGGTCTGTTAAGACACATCAGTTCTAAGAGCTCGTGTTTCGCCAGTTTTCCCAGAATGCTGTAATGTTCTGTTCAGTTATTTGTGCGCAAACCACTAACTAACAAATGCAAATTTAATTTTGCTTACGAGAACCTCCATTTCATAAAGATTGACCTGTCAATTATGCAGTGCTGAATCAAAATATGTGGCAAAGGTCCGGTAATAGTTGTTAAAATAACTGGCCTTGTTGTAACTAATTTTCATATCTACTTT